GGGTCTCCTCTTCCTGGTTACCTGGCTCTGGCCAAATCCTCCAGGCATGGGTGGTAGAGGGCAGAGCAGCGTTAACGATGGCACTGGCTGTTCATCTCTGTCCCTGGCTCTTCATCTGTGCCCCTTCCCCTGAGCCAACGCCCTCACCATTTTCACTGAGGGCACCTAACTGCAAAGGAGCATGGGCTGGGCAGAGCTGACACCGCTGGCAGCGAGCGCGGTGGCCTTTGAGTCCCGTCTGAGTCACACAGCCAGCGAGTCCACCCTTCAGTATGTCCCCAAGTGAAACAAGCGCTTGTGTCCACCAAAAACACAGGTACAGAAATGTTCGAGGCAGCACCACTGGGAGAACCCGAGAGCCGGCCGCAACCTCAGCGGCCCGGCACAGTAGCAGAGAGAAACTGAACAGTCCCACAGGGCCCTGAGCACTGACAGACCGCTGCTGCCCACACGGCGAGGGAGAATCACATGCCAAACACGGGGGAGAGGCGGCCAGACGGCAAACAGCACGTGCGTCTGATGCCGTGAGTGGGAAGTTCGAGAACGGATGGAACAGAGGCGGGAGACGGCAGACAGAATGGTGTCTGCCCCCGGGAGGGGACGTGGGTGTCAGAATTCACTGAACTGCACCATTGAGATTAGTTTTGTGCATAATACCACAGCTTCAAATTTTGCAGTCCATCTAAATTACCTTAACAGTGATTTCCTCCACACTATTTAAGCGAAAGGACCCTCCCCGACTGTAGGCCTTGTCTTCATGGTGGATTCAGTCCTTGTACCTCTCTGCAGCTGTCACCCATCCTTGCTGGCAGACACCCTCCTTCACTCCGGTTAAAATCACCTCCATAGACAGCCGGGACCCAGAGCTGCAAACTAATCGAGGCTCTTTTTATTCTATTTGACCCATTTTGCTTAAGTTTTACATTTTTAGTCACTAGCAGAGTACGGTGGTGCACACCTGCAATCCTCGCATTTGGGAGCTGAGGCAGGAGGATCAAGCTGAGGCAGGAGGATCTAGCCTGGGCTGCATAACAAGTCCCTGTCTCAGAAAGAAAAAAAAGTATTACTTTCCCACCATGAAACTTTGGAAATGTTCACAGAATGATCTGAGCTTCTATTGAAATGTCGGGGGATCTGTGAAATGGGCTTGTGAGCAGCAAAGAGCTGAGCTCAGAAGCTGCTGATTTTGTGTGGGGCAGGAACCCTCACGGACACTCCTGGCCTGCCTTACCTGCTCCGGGACTTGCTAGGCCTCTGCGGGTGGCTGCGTGTCTGACCCTTCAGGTTACCCTGACTCAAACCGTCACTGCTGTCCTCCAAACCCTTTTGTGGCCTCAGTGTCCCTCTTCCAGACAGCCTCTCACACCGGCTACCCGAACTCTCATTGCCTTTCCACCCCAGGGACCAGCAGACTATGGGCTCAGGCCAAATCCAGCCGCCACCTCTTTTTCTGCAGAACTGCGACATAGAAATGGGACTTGACATTTTTAAATGGTTGAAGAAATTTTTAAAAATAAATCATTTTTGTGGTGCTAGGGATGGAACCCGGGCCTCATGCCTCATGCATGCCAGGCAAGCACTCTATCACTTAGCCACTTCCCTGGTCCCTCTTAAAATTTTGAGATAGGGTCCTGCTAAGTGCCCAGGCTGACCTTGAACTTGCAATCCTCCTGCCTCAGCCTCTCAAGTAACTGAGATTATAGGCATGTGCCATAGTTCCTGGCAAAGTATAATATTTGTAGTACATGAAAATGACGTGAAATTCAAGTTTCAGTGTCTATACATAAAGTTTTATTGACACACAGTCACACTTGTTGGTTGTCACATTTATTATTCATGGTACATCATCAGAGTTGAGTAGTTTTTACAGAGACGGTCAAGCCTGAACTATCTACTATGTGATACTTTACAGAAAAAGTGTTCTGAACTCTGCCCTCGCTCCTTCCTCCCCGGCTCCTCTCCCCATCCCAGGACTGTTGCTGTATCACCTTTACACACTTGGCTGTGTGGGTGGTGTGACACTGCGCCCTGTCCTTGGCTCTTTCATGAGATTATGTCAGAGGCCACTTTTGCACCATCAAGGTGTGGCCCGGTATTCTCCAGTTTGGGGGTGAAAGGGGTGATGGGAACAGAAGAACCTTGGCTTCTTAACCTTTGGAAAGGGACTTGGAAGACTTGGATGAGGGGGCCCACACGCAAATGCCAAATGAGGTAAAGACGTCCTCTCTTAATTGCCCCTGCAACTCCTGAGCCCTCAATCAGTAGACCTGGAAGAAAAGTCAGAGAGATTTTCATCCTTCCATCCACCCATCCATCTACCCATCCATCCACCCATCCATCCATCCATCATCCACCCATCCACCCACCCATCCATCCATCATCCATCCATCCACCCATCCACCCATCCATCCATCCACCCACCCATCCATCCATCATCCATCCATCCACCCATCCACCCATCCATCCATCCACCCACCCACCCATCCACCCATCCACCCATCCATCCATCCACCCATCCATCCACCCATCCATCCATCCACCCACCTACTCACCCACTCATCCATCAACCCATCCACCCATCCATCCACCCACTCACCCACTCATCCATCCACCCATCTATCCATCCATCCACTCAGTCTTCCCTTCTCCCTGTCCCTATGTTCAGCACTGTGCTAGCCTGGCCTGGTGATTAAGCTGTGTTCTCTATTCCCGGGGAATACATATGTTAATGGACCAGAGAGACATCAAAAGAAAGAGTTATATTTCAGTATTAACATCATTATAGGGAGAACTGAGTGTGTGGCTGAAAGAGATACTAACTCTAATTCCTTAATTTTGCAGTTGAAGGAAAGAAAACAAGGTTAACCAGGAAGGATAAGAAACTTGCACACACTGCAAGTTTAGCAACAGAGCTGGAAATAGAATCCTCTCTCAGTTCCTATTTTTTACACTCCACCCTCCCATTCCTTCATTCACTCACTCATCGACAATTATCAAACCCCCACCAGTTGCCAAGGGCTGATCTAGGAACTGGCGTACAGTCATGAGAAAGACAGACACACTTTCCACCTACCAGAGCTGCCTCTGCGGGGAGGAGACAGAAAATAAACACAGAGGGAAATAAAGCATCCGAATGGTTTGAGGAGCCCATGTGCTCAGAGGAAAATGAAGCAGAGAAAAGGCCTGAGTGGCTCAGGACTGCTTTAGCAGGATAGTCAGATGTTATCTGTTGGAAATCCAATCTTCAAGGTCATATGAGGGTGGTATATGGGAGTCAAGGCCTTTGGGAGGTAACTGGGCTGAGTAGATTAATCTGTTCCTAGATTCGTGGATTAATTGGCTTACCATGGAGTAGCTTTGTTATAAAAACTAGGCCTCTGGCGTGCTTGTTCCGCACCACCGTGTGATGCCCAGTACCATGCTGTATGCTGCCAACTCACCCTCAGCAGATTCAAGCAGATGCCAGGGTCAGTGTTCTTGGGCTTCTCAGCCTCCCAAACCTGGAGCCGAGTAAGCTCCTGTTCCATATAAATATCCATCTCGGGTATTGTGTCACTGAAGCAGAAGACAGAGACATCAGCGAGGCCACCTTGAGCAGGTGCCCCTGAGGGATAAGGAGCCAGCCCTGGAGAGCAGAGAGCCAACAAGCCATGGAGAAGGAAGAGCCTCCTCCTGTGCCACCTCCATGTTCAGCGGGCAGAACTGCAATCCAGACAGGGCTTGGCGTCGTTTAGCTCAGGTTTCTGTCCTGGTTTGTGCGTATTCAGTGTCATCTGCTGTCCTAACAGAGCCCCCTTGGGAGGAGGTGGGGAGGCGGTGGGTCTTGTGCACGCGTGACCTCCGTGGCCGCGCAGACACTGAGGACTCGTTGAAGGCGGGGCTGGGAGGAGACGGATAGAGTAGAGGGGATTATCTCCACGCACAGCTGAAGGTAAATGAGATTCTGCGAGGTGCCAGTTGCTCACCCAAAAGTAGCTCCACTTACCCCCAAGCAGCTGTAATTGCTCCACTTAACTCATTATAGGCTTACGGGGTGGGGAGCACAGCCTGGGGGTTCTGGCAGCCACACAATCTGCTCTGAGGCAGCACAGAGGCCCGGGGACCCCACCTGAGGCAGAAACAAGCAGGTCGGGAGTTAGGGAGTCAGAATTCTAGGCCTCTCTGCCCCCGAGTGACAGTGGGACCCTGGGTGAGACACCCCCACCCGTGCACGGCATGAGGGCGGATAGGCTAAGCACGGCGGCATCAGACTGTGTGTCTAGGGGCCTTTGAAGCCCGGAGAGGGGCTTCTAGGGGCTGCTCTGGGGCGGGGGTGGCAGGTAGCAGACAGGATCAACCAGAGGGGCTCTACCTGGATGTCTCCTGGCCCCGGGGCCCTCGCAAGGACACAACACGTGCAGTGGCAGTGAGAATAAAGCCCGAGCCCAGCACGGTGCGGAAGGATTCCCTGCGTTAACACGGGCGAGAGCTCTAAGCAAGCACCCTTCACGCTATTTCCGTCTCCGCTTTCGCTTTCGAAGTAAAAACCAAACTCCGGGCAGGGCAGTTCGATAACTTGCCCCAAGTCAGAGCTGGGAGAGAAATGCTTGCAGCGGGTCTCTGAGGATCACTTAGCCACCCTTGGGTTAAGAGCACAAATGCTCAGTACTAAGGGGGCAGCCTCGTGAGGACCCTGCGACGCGCTGACGCTGTGCCTTAGAGTTCCTGAGGGGTTAATGCGCAGCAGACACTTACTACGGTCTTGGCTGATAGTAAGCAGTGAGTGTTAGCTATTACCGTGATTATTAGTAATGTCAGTTCCTCAGCAGACTGACTCCGCTCCTACAGTGTGTCTGAGAGGGACGGGAGTAGATGATCCCTGAAGCTGGGCCAGTCTCCTTCCCAAAGAGAGGGAGGACTCTGGTGAAGAAGCCTGCAAACTTAGGGGATGCTGGCCCGTAAAGTGACTTTTGCTAGTCTTTAGGAAAGGAGAAACAGAATGACAGGCTAGGAAGGAGAATAGAAAAACACACCGGGCCAGGCATGGTTTAAAGTTTAACAGCCTCACCTGTAATCCCAGCACTCGGGAGGCTGAGGCAGGAGGATTGTGGCAAGTTTGAGACCAGCCTGGGCTACAAAGTGAGCTCAAGGCCAGCCTGAACTGCAGAGCGAGACCCTCTCTCTCTCTCAAAAAAAAAAAAAAGAAAACAAAAAAAACCACGGGGAAAAGGACACAAGTTAAAGAGGGTAAATTACTTCCCTCAAGTCCTGATCAACTGATGTTGACCTCATGATAACTTCCTTAATAGAAAAAGCCTGAGAAGTCTGACAGTGTGTGGTGTATTCTGCTGACTATATCTGGTTGTTGAATATTTTGTTTCAATGTAATACAAACTTTGTGAGGAAAGAGACCAATGCATTCCACCTTATTTTTCAACTGTTTTCTAGAATGGGGAATTTAGTTTTGAAGTTCTTTGTCAATTACCTAATTAAATACTTAAAGTTCAGAGTGAAATTGTAATAAAGCAAATAATCTCATCCTTTATACTGTGAAATTTTTCTTTTCCATGCTGTTTAATTTTTTTGTCATGGGATGGTAAATTTTTGTTATATTCTTTCTTTTAAGAAGGAATTAATCTTGAAATAAATAAATAAGCTCGGGATGTAAATGGAAGAAAAGAATTAGTGTTGATAGTAAAAGCCATGACTGGTACATCTTAAAAATAAAAGGACGGACATGGTGGCCCGTGCCTGTAATCTCAGCGCTCTGGAACGCTGAGGCAGAAGGATCGAAAGCCCAGACCCAAAACGTAGTGACTTAGCAAGACCCTCTCTCAAAAGAAAAAAGAAAAAGGGCAAGCGGTGGAGTGTGGCTCAGTGGAAAAGCTCTGGCTTCAACTTCTAGTACCATAATAAATAAATAAATAAATGAATAAATAAAACGAGCAAAATAGATGAATTTTTGTAAGGGCTAGGGAGGTTCAAAGGCTCATTTTAAAAGTTCCATTTAAAGCTATGTCCTTGCACTGGATTAGAGTTCTCTAATAACTAAAAGTGTTGCGGCGAATGGTCCCTGCATGCCCAAGCACTCACAGAGAAGGTCCAGTTCCATCCTAACAGCCTCCTGCAGGGGGAAACACCATTTCTAGTTGACAAAGCTGAGGGGAAGCTCAGTCAATGAATTTGCCCAAGTCCCACGGAGGAAGGGAAACAGTTGGAACTCAATGAAGGCCTTGGGGTGCTGGGCCCACACCCTCTCTACACTATGGCACCTAGCCTGTGTGTTTATTTAATAGCTTTGTAGAAGCTTAATCGACACACCGTGAACTCACCCCTTTAAGGTGTCCAAGTTAACGGCTTCTATGTTACCTACAGAACCCTGCAGTCATCTCCCAAACATGTTCATCATCCCCAAAAGAGACTTCATCTCAGGGGCCAGGGACATAGCTCAGAGGCACAACTCCTCCCTGGCAAGCACAGGGTCCTGAGTTCGATTCCCAGAGCCAGGGAAAAAAAAAGAGCCACCTCATCTCCGGCAGAGTCCCACCCAACTTCCATCCCTCATCCCCGCCCTAGGCAACCGCAAAGCTTCTTTCTACACATACAGCTTGTTTATCTTAGACACTTCCTATGAACGGGGCCTGTTCTCCGGTGATGGCTTCTTTACTGAGCTTAAAGTTTCTGATCTTCACCCTCATGTAGCGTGCGATCAGGGCTTCCTTTATTTTTATGGCTAAGTAAAATTCCAGTGGGTGAATCTACACCATTTTGTTGGTCCAGGCATCACTTATAAACATCTGGGCCTTTTTTTTATTATTTAATTGTACAAAAAATGCAGCTACTAGCATTTGTGTATGCGTTTGTCCCCTTGCCTCCGTCTTCCTCTCCTTCCTGCCTCACTTTTGTTTCTCTTGGGTGGAATGGCTGAGTCACATTGCACCTCTGTCTTCAACATTGTGAAGAACTGCCAAACGGCTTCTCAAAACAGCTGCGCCACTTTGCCTTCCCACCAGCAGTGTACAAAGCTTCCAATGTCTCTACTTCACTGCCAGCGCCTCTCGATACCCGCCTCTTCTGCTACAGCAACCCTGGAGGGTGAGGTGGGATCTCACTGTGAGGTGTGAGGTGGGATCTCACTGTGGCGATGGTCTGCATCTTGCTAGTGACCGGCGATGCTGAACATCTTCTCAAGTGTTTATTTCTCATTTGTACATCGTCTTTGGAGAAATATCTACTCCAATCCTTTGCCACGTTTTAATTGGGTTGTTAGTCTTGATGTTGTTGAGTTGTGAGTTCTGTGTGTATTCTGTATATCAAGCCCATTCTGTGAATTGTCCCTTCACTTGTTTGAGGATGTCTTTCAAAACACAAAAGCTTTTAATTTTTCCATTTTCCTTTTATTGTTTAACCTTTATGTGTGATAGCTAAGAAATCATTGCCTAACTCAAGGTTGCCAAGATTTACCACTATATTTTCTTTGAAGAGTTTGTAACTCTTTAGTTTAAGCCTAGGACCCGTTTTTGAACTAATTTTTGTATATGGTATGATATAAAGGTCCAAATCCATTCTATTTCAGTTGCGTACCCAGTTGTCCCAGTACAATTTATTGAAAAGACTATTCTTTCCCCCATTGCGTTAGCTTGGCACCCTTGTCAAAGTCAACTGACCAAAATATAAGTGTTGGTTTCTGAGCTCTCCATTTTATTCCATTGGCCTGAATGCTTATTTATGTTGGTATCTCAATATCTGCATTAGAGAAGCTTTGTCATGAGTTTTGAAATCAGAAACTATGTGTCCTCCAACTCTGCTTTGTCAAGATTGTGGGTTTTTCTGAGCAAGTCCTCTGCGTTTCCATATGAAATTTCAAATTAGCTTGTCAAGTTCCTCAAGATCAGGACCTTCTTTTGAAATGTTCCTCTTAGTGTGGTGGTGCACACTTGTAATTCAGCACTCAGAAGCCGAGGCAGGAGGATTGCCAGGAGCTTGATGACAGCCTGGCCTATACGATGAGTTTAAGGCCCATCTCGGTCTCAAAAGTTTAAGCTCGGTCTCAAAAACAATCTTTCTTCTCTTATTCGATAAGGTGTTTGGAGAGGGTAACTGAGACTATCTCCCTGTCTCTCCCTCTCTTTCTCTCTCTCCGAAAGAAAAAGCCATTTTGTGCTGAATTGCAGGAAATTTTATTCATCTATGACATTCATAGGTAGGTGGACCTATGACCATGCTGAAGGGGAGGTGGACGGTAGGCAGAGACAGAATCAAGTGGAGTGTTGAGGAGGCTCCTTGGACCCAGGTTGTAAACGATACACCTCAAGGGTATATGGGCTGGGTCAAGGAGAGACTGCTTGCGTGAAAGACCCAGGCAATGCCTGGGAAAGAAGTCATCCTCAGCAATAGGAGTGAGGGTTCACCCACAGGCCGGGAAAGGCATGAGTTGTCATACAGCCCAATGTTTGAAGCTTAGCTTGGGTTAATACTGATGGAGTACTTAACATGAATGAAATATTTCACCTGTAGCATCTCATTTAACATTCATCACAGTCTTGTGGCTTCACACTGTAATTGTTTAATTTCTACTACAGAGTGGCCCAACAGAAACACCCTGTGAGCCATTTATGTAATTCTACATTTTCAGGAACCACATTAAAAAAAGGTAGAAAGAAACGGGTGAAATTCATTTTTGGAAAATATTTTTATTTTACTCAGTAGATCCGCAAGAGTATTATATGATCAGTATTTACACATTTATCAGTGAGATATTCTTTTTTTCTCACTATTTCCTTAAAGTCCGGTGCATTTTTAGACCACAAGTGTGTCTTGATTCAAATGCTAAATTTCCACTGGCTGTACCTGAATTGTATTTAGACTTGACGAAATTTATAGTTGAAAAAGTAGCCCCGCATTCCCAGGTTATTACAAGCACCCTTAAAAGTGAACTGAGCATCAATTTTTAAACTTAAGTTAACTAAAATTAAGTGAAATTTAAAATTGAGATCTTAGTCATCTTTGCCAGATTTCCAGTGCTTGGTGGCCGTGGGTGGTTGGTGGCTATCGTGCTGAACACGCAGACCAACACTTCTGTCACACTGTCACGGGGGCAGTGTCAGTGTTGGCTTGGTGACACTGAAACCCTCACTGTAAGGGTGTGGGCTAGGTGTGACACACTTAATAATGCACATATGGATGAACTGAGGAGCTCATTGAGCTAGTGAACAAATAGCTCCTATCATCCTGATTTGCTGGAGCAGCTCGGATTCAGAAAAGTAAAATAAGTAGGCCAAATGCCTACGGCCAGTAAGTGGCATGGAGAGAATACAAAGCCAGGTCTGACTCATTCCAAAATCTATTGGCTACAAGCAACATATGTGGACATGGGAAAGGAAGAGCGAAGCCTAGGCCGTCGAGCCAACAATCAGCAGGGGACTACAGTGCTCGGCCAGCCCTCCACAGTCCTGCCTTTGCCC